GCATATAAATAATTTTTTTGAAATAAATATTTTAATTTGTTTGAATGGTTTTAATTAAATAATATCTAACAAAAATTTAACTGAAACAAATTGCTTATTTACGTAATATTATATAGTTATTATAATTTAAAAATATGTTTAATTTTTCTTTTCTTAAAATGATAAATCTATGGATATTATTGTTTTATTTTAAAACCTTAATATATTACATTAGTGAATGATAAATTTCAAAATTTTAATGTTTTTGACTAGTCCTTGCTTTCTAGAAGCATAAAATATTAGTAATAAAACAAGATTTTGAATCTGTTATTTTCTAATTTACNCTTAGTGTGGGGAGTACTTCAAGAAAAAATGATGTCAGAAGTAAGCATATAAATAATTTTTTTGAAATAAATATTTTAATTTGTTTGAATGGTTTTAATTAAATAATATCTAACAAAAATTTAACCGAAACAAATTGCTTATTTACGTAATATTATATAGTTATTATAATTTTAAAATATGTTTAATTTTTCTTTTCTTAAAATGATAAATCTATGGATATTATTGTTTTATTTTAAAACCTTAATATATTAGATTAGTGAATGATAAATTTCAAAATTTTAATGTTTTTGACTATTCCTTGCTTTCTAGAAGCATAAAATATTAGTAATAAAACAAGATTTTGAATCTGTTATATTCTAATTTACATTATTCTATAGTAAAAAAATTAGGTATTACAAATATAATTAATATGTTCAAAAATAAATTTTTATTTTATTAAACTTAAGTTGGATATTCTTTCATTTTTAGTCTTATGGCTCAACTGATAATTCAAAATTTGTTGATGCTCAAATGTTAGTATTTTTAAATAGAGGGCTTTCAACTATATTGTCTGCTATAGTTTTATTGATGAATGAAGGAATTAGTTCTAAAAATCCTCCACCATTTTACAAATACAGTTATTGCACTTTGTCTAATATTATAAGTTCATGGTGTCAATATGAAGCACTTAAGTATGTTAGTTTCCCAACTCAGGTAATTATCTGTTGAAAAAAATGGTTATTATTTTGAGTCTTTATAGTTTTCTTGAAATAATAAAATATTTTTTATATTATTTAATTGAAAAACAAAGTAATAAATCATAAACTTTTTTTTTGATTTTTTAGGTATTAGCTAAAACCTGTAAAATTATACCAGTTATGATAATGGGGAAATTAATATCTGGTAAGAAATATCAATTCTATGAGTATATTACAGCTTTCGGAATTTGGATGGGTATGGCTATTTTTCAGTATTTTACTGCAAACAAACATTCTGGTAAATATATATTTGTAGTATATACTTGTATACTTGCATGTAATTATGTTAAAAGAAAAAATTTGTTTTTGTTAATACATTTTTTACTAGACGTAACAACTTGTGTATCGGGAATTATTTTGTTGATTGGATATTTAGTATCAGATAGCTTTACAGCAACTTGGCAAGGAAGAATTTTTACACAATATTATGTTACTCCTTTACAAATGGTTTTTGCTACTTCTTTTTTATCGTCCATATTAACATCAATTTCACTTTATCAAACTGACTCATTCAAAAAAACTTTTATATTTATAACACAGGTATAATGATAAAAAAAATTATATAAATAAATTTACCTTCTGTTAATTTTTAGCATCCAGAATTTTTAACAGATTGTTTAATGTTATCTGTAAGTTCAGCATGTGGTCAGTTATTTATTTTCAAAACAATTTCAAAATTTGGGCCTATTGTTTTTACCATAATTATGACTATTAGACAGGTAAATTTGAAAAAATAAAAGTATATTTACACATTAAGATAAATTAGAAGAGCTCAGAATTATATTAACAATATCATGTTGATTACTGTAAAAAATTGTACAGTTAAAATATTTATGACAATAACTGGGTATGATTCAAAAACTCAATAAAGACTTGTATTAATCAGTATTCATACTTGAAAAAATAAAGAACTTTATTAAAATTTCAAAATAGATATTCTAACAAAAATATTATTGTAGTAATTAAATAGTTTAATTAATATCATAGTTAAAAACATAAAATACTGAAAAGAAGACAAAAGATAGAATCACATTTTATTTATAGATGTAATAATAATAAAATTTTTGATGCTGCTATATTAATTTTTTCCCTGCTAAATTTTTTTTATATAATAAAATATATACAATTTTCTATATTTATATATTCACCCTGTGTTTATATATGTGAATGTAATTTTGTTTGTTGAAATACTTTCTTTAAATTATGAATAAGTTTTGACAAAGTAAAATTTTTATAATGATATCAAAATTACATAATGTTAAATCAATGAGAAATTACATAATTCTTATAATTTAATAATCAATTAAATCAACTGTTAAACTGATAGTTCCACAATGAAATTTGAATAGGCTATATGTAAATATTTTTATTTTATTAACAAAATAATTTTAATATTAATATAATGTTGACTGTAGGGGCTTTCAATAATAATATCATGTTTGAGATATCATCACCCTATTGGATTCATGGCTTCAATCGGAATAATATTTGTTTTTATTTCAATTTTTTTACGACTATATTGTAGTTTTCGTATAAAATCCAAAAAAGCAATGATCAGTTCAACTTATAAAGTATAAATAAATTAAAGAAAGAGGTTAGTAAACTTTTATCAAAACAAGTATCACAAATTTTAGTATAAATGTTTAAAAAATACAACTTAATATTTAATTAAATTTTAAGTGGTAGAATCGTTGCTCTTAAATGTTAATAGAGATACAATACCAAAGAACATTTGAGTTCCTTGAAGAGCGAGTTGTATACAACCAAGAATGCTTTCTAATCTGAATATTCTCTGTTGCCATAGTAAGAAGTATACAACTCCAAGTGCTGAAGGCACTGTAAGTACCAGTGAAAGGAAGACACATATGGCTTTGTCTGCTGCATTTTCCCGTCTTGACAAAAATGTACGAAATACTTCTATCAAACAGAGAAAAACAAATACACTTAAGTTATAACTTAGTTCATCAATTGATGAGAAAGTTGTTTTTTTGTAAGCATTATCAATAGATTTAGCACATATTAATGAAAATTCGAACATAGAAAACATTCCAAAGTAATATGAATTAAGGTACATAAGTACTTCAAACATTAAGGGGGCTTCCATAACAAAATTATTTAATATTTATTTAAAAGTTGACGTTTGTTGCAGCAGTTCACAGCTGTAGTAATGTTTACAATGTGTAGTACTATCTGGCTATTTTTGTACATAGAACTTTGCCCTGGCAATCAATAACTATGTACAATGTTACCACCATTGAGATGCATAATTATTGTACCAACATTTTTCGTTCTATGAATTAGTCTTACTAAAAAAAAAAAACTAATAATAAACTCTTTAAACAAATTTGAATTTTAAAAAATATTATGTAAACTAATAATTATATTTGTTATAATTGTAATATTTATTTATTGGAGTATAGTTCATTATTTGTGTAATAAAGTATAAAAATGTTCAGAATGTACATATTTCTGTGATGATTAATNTATTTACAATAGAATGTTTTAATAAAACTAAAGTAAGATAAGTAAAGTAAGATGTTAAAATTTCAAAAGAATAAACTATCAATAAGTAACTACGATTATTATAGCTTAAATACATTCATTTGATCATGATTATGAATTGAGATATATTACATTTAACGTCTTTAAAGTAATATTATTTGATTAAAAACAACTGTGATTTTCATTTATATTTTTCTTTTAAGGTGTAACTTAACAATTGAATTTTATATATTTGAAAATAAACATAGTTTATTAAATTTATTTTTTAATCTAATTTTTAATATTGTATTATTTTACTATGTAATTTTTTTGATTATAAATACTACAATTTTGTTTCTCCCTAGAGTTTAATTTTATAAATTGATCAGTTTAATGGTATAATAATACTTCCATTTAACTAAAAAAGTGTTTATTCCGCAAGTCTAATTTTGATACTTTAAAATTATTTTCCTCATTTTTACGCTGAAGTAATTTTAAATATTGAGTTAAGAAAAAAATCAAAAATAATTATTTTTAAAATTTAATATTTAAAAATTTAGTGACTAATTAATAATTAATAACTTAAAAAAAGTCATATATCAACATTAGTTTAAGTCACATTATATTAATTTAACACTATTATTTCTACACTAGTTAGAATAAAAAAAGGGTTGAACTTCGGAAGGACTTCAAATTTTTGTGAAACAGTTGCCACCCAAATACGTATATTCCAAAAATAATCGAATATTATTATCTTTAATATACTTATTATTTTAGTTCAATATTTTAATGTTAGTATCTCACATTACTCCCATACTTATATCTGGTGATGAGCATAACCTGTTTAATAATTTACATTGTAGCGGCCAGTTGTAATTTAATAGTCATTATCAAGTGTACCTTACATTATATTTGTTATTTAATACATCGTATTACTTTGAATTTTAAATGTTATTTATTATAAGATAAGTAATCATAACAAATATATATTATATATTTGTTATGATTACTTTTTATATTATAAAAATGAACTTTGTTTAAGTGATATTAAATTTACAGCGGATGTTTTAAGCTACGTGTGTGTCATGCCATCAGTTTTCCTTAAGTTTCTACTCATTTTTATATTAAGTATATAAACGTTAATGTTTCCGAATTTTACACTACCAAACGTTGGTAATGTAACGCTCCTAAATAACACTTATTTAGAAGTATAGTTCATTAGGTTTAGGCGGTAAATTGTGTTACAGGTTGTTACGTTTTAAACATCTGCTTGTTTAAAATGTAAACATTTAAATTTTTTATTTATGTTTCAAATGGATTTTTTTTTTTTATACATGTTTTTGAACAACCCTGCTATGCAATTTAAATACAATTTTAACGCGTAAATATCATGACTGACGATACTATCAAATTTTCTTACATTATATGAAACACAAATCAACTCCAGACATCAGAAGAAGAATAGCATTGGCAAAGCAAGCATTCCAAAACAAGAATCAGCTTTTCACTAATAAACATCTGGGCATTGGCACACGTAAAAGATTCGTTAAAACATTTGTCTAGAGTGTGCTTTCATATGACAGTGAAACACGGACAATCGACAAGAAAGAAAGAAGCTAACTAGAAGCATTAGAGTTATATATGTGGAGAAAAATGACAAAGATGCGGTAAACTAAAAATAAAAAGTAATATAAAATCGGACTTAGTGGGGTAATATTGGGAAGTTAAATATTTTTTTGGTATTTTACATTATTTTTTTTATTAAATTATTAATGGTTTATTACGCAATAGATTGTTGGAGGCTCGAAAGCATGAGTTAATGAACTGTACTTACATTACATTCTATATAATGCAATAGTATTTCAAGTAATCCAATGTTGATTATGGTATTAAATGCACTACGTATACGATTTACACTATAATTATTTAGGAAAACGATTTAAATTTTAAATAATATTACACAAAATCTATGACTGATTTAGATTTTAAACACTGTATTTTATTAGAAATATAACTTATAATTTGTCCTTATTAATTTTATTACGTTTGTTGAACAAGTATTTCCTTTTGAGAGAGTATATTTTATTGAGAGATCGACACCAATATTTCTTAAATCTTCCTCTGGCCTGACCAAAACAAGATTCAAAAATATCTATGTAAAAATTTTATTCAGGCGGTATTGTGGTGTCCCGGCGCTAGTGCCTTTAATGGATGCAGCACAATAATCACCAAGACAAAAATTAAACACTAAAAATATATTCGTAAGTTTCTTAGCGCTGTCCGCCGGCACGATGTTCGTTAGAACAAAGACATTCGGCTCAAAGACTAGCTATCCAATACACATAGGCTTACAAATATATTCTAACCCAATATACCTAATTATAGCAGAATATCTAGTTGCAACCTTTATTCTGTCCGCCGGCGCGATGTTCGTTAGAACAAAAACAAGTGTCCTTCATTATTTATTTATTTTTTCATTTTTGGTTTATTACAAAGACAACAAAAGAAATGAACAAGTGCTAGAAGAAGTACGAGAATAAAGACAGCTGATCAAGGTGATTGAATCCAGAAAAATAAAGTTAATCGGACGCATCATTCTGCACAATGACTATATAATCAACGTCTTCGAAGGAAAAATAACTGAGAAGAAACCAAGAGGACGCCCAAGGAAACAATATTTTGAAAATATCCTGGAACTCATGAGCTGTGCATAGTTTGTTTCACTGAAGAATTTGGCGTTAAACAGAGAGGGCAACGACAAGGCATTGCCTTTATTAGATGATGATGATGATATGAAACACAAAGTCATTAATATACGTGATTGTTATATGACATAACACTGCCAAAGGCATTAAAATAACGATTAAAATATTAGCGATGACTAATTAGAATATAGCCTTACACAACTTTTTGTAAACACTGTACTAGTAAAAGCGAGTAATGCGGTTGTTCTTTAAAAAAATGTGGGACGTTACGGTTTCTATATTTAATTCACGGTGTTTCATAACAAATCAGCTTTAACCCAATAATGGGCTGAAACAATATAGGACAACAAAGTTGTCCCGAGTAATGAAGTTTTACTGCACCAACCGCCGTTGACGTCTAATGCGGATAATAGAAATTTGTAGTTACCTTCTGAATTCCTGGTACCTTTTTTTTTCATAATAAGCCTATTTATACTGCTTCTATTGCAGTTGTAACGTTACTTATACATTCCTGTTACTATTTTTCAAATATTTTGACAAACGATATACTGTCGACAGAATTGCCTACACAAAACTCCTAATTATGTCGTGTATAGCTTTAGATTTTACACACAACAAACTTGGATTTAACAAATGAATCATAATACGTATGAGAAAGATAGTTTTAATCATTATAATATACCGAGTGTTCACTAGTTTAAGAAACAGGTCAATTGTTACTAACATTGAGAACAATAGAAACCCGTTCCCTTACTTACTGGACACTATATATTTATTTATTATAATTGTTCTTTTATAAAATTTTTTCTAAATAGATATAATAGCTTATGTATTATATATTTAATTAAAAAATTGAATAACAGTTATATTCACATTTCAGACATTTAAAATATCAATTATGAAAAACAATCTAAATCGCATAGTAATACTTAATTATAAAAATAATTTACAAATAATATTCGTTTTATATTTTATAAAAACTGTATATCATTGACAACTAATTATAATGTAATCGTATGATATAAAAAATGATCACTTTTTCGACAAAAATACACATGTGTTTCTACAAATCATGGCATTCCTGTTTTCTAGTTTTAGGAATTTTCTCGTTCACCATTTTAGCGAATTTAGAAACTTTGCAAGGTGGTTTACAGTTTGACATCGAGAGTTCTATACCTTTATCATCATCCCATTGTTTAAAAAAAAATACCTGAATACAAACACGTTATATTATTTACTAAAGTGTATATGTTTCATAATTATGTTCAATCATGAAAAATGACCATTTTACTCGTATTTAAAAGAAAATAATGAATTGCTTATGAATTATATGATTCGAACCGCTAATTTTTAATATATATTAATATTTTTTAATCCTTAAATGAAGTATCTCCACTGGCAATACTTCACACATTAACAATAGTTGTTAATTATAATTGATAATTATTTTCAGGATATTTTGAATTTGTGCGATTAAAACAAAAAATAATACTGAACTTTAAAAGTAAATTTGAGAAAAAATGTATACGAATAATTTAAATTAATACTATCAAAATATAGTTGAGACAAACGATAATTAAAATTTACATTATTTTGATAACTATGTTAATTTTATAGTATCAACTCAATGTGCATAATTTACTTTAATAATATCAGAAAACGTATCTTTGGAATGATATNTTATATAATTCGAACCGCTTATTTTTGAATATATATTAATATTTTTTAATCCTTAAATACATGAAGTATCTCCATTGGAAATACTTCACACATTAACAATAGTTGTTAATTATAATTGATAATTATTTTCAGGATATTTTGAATTTGTGCGATTAAAACAAAAAATAATAATGAACTTTAAAAATAAATTTGAGAAAAAATTTATTCGAATAATTTAAATTAATACTATCAAAATATAGTTGAGACAAACGATAATTGAAATTTACATTATTTTGATAACTTTGTTAATTTTATAGTATCAACTCAATGTACATAATTTACTTTAATAATATCAGAAAACGTATCTTTGGAATGATACAAATGAAAATGTAGAGAACCACCAAAGTTGAAAACATCCAATTCATTATCTAAAATGTTAGCTAAAAACCCTAAACTTAAGTCATGACCAGAGTATAAATACATTTTTCGTAGTTCAGTTGTATTCGCCTTAGATTTTTCTGCAATTAATGATGTTATTTCTTTCATTAGCGGTCCTTTAAATAGAAAAAATGATTATGGTAATAATTTAATTCGTAAAATGATTTATTTAACACGTGGTTAATAATTACCTGCAAAAATATTCTGTAATCTATTATTTCCAAATAATACCTTCATAAAATGTTTTCCATGGACATAATTTTTTATTTTTTCGTAATTACTCTGACTCAGCCATTCTGGTAATTGCAAACCAAAAGTTTTCTTGGGAAAAATAAACAGATAATATATGAACATTTCTTTAGTTTATTATGTGATATGGTGAAAACTTTCATTTTCTTACTTGGCATGTTAGTAAATCATAGAGTCCAAAAATATTTTTTCGATCAATGATTTGGCCACATTTCTTAGAGAGATATGGAAGTAAGTTGTCTATTACTGTCATATAACTGTTATTATAAAGTTCCACATAAGCTTTTTCTAAGACTGACTCAAATGCAGGACAATAACCAATCTATAACGACGTCATAAAGATGCGTATACTTGTTTATTTATTGTAATCACAATATTTATTTTTTACTAGTATTGTTATTGTAGTTTCTTTATAATACAAAGAAATTAATTGAAATGGGAAATTTTTCTAATAAGGTACAATAACAATCAGTTCAAGTTTTAAAGATATATATATATATATATATATTTAAAAAAAAAAAATTCCTTTCAAAAATATTCCAAGTTTATTTTACCGTTTATTAACTTATTACAAATGGCTATCAAATGAAAATTAAATTTAAATTTAGAAATTGAAGATTAAAACATGTTCATACGTACTGCTCCGTCACAGTGGTCCGGAGAATTACCATAAATAGGAATCGGTTGCCACAGTGTTTTTTTATCCGACCATATTTGATAATCTGTCGGAGGGTATAATCCTGTTAAGAGCATAGAGGCAGACATGTGTGTTCGAGATACATTAGTAGTTTTTGTGTATATTTCACTATCTAAATATAAATTGCTTAAGAAACCATCGTAAAGTCGACGCATAATCTGCCCTTTCTTAAACATGTGTTGTTTACCTAACTAGGAGAAAGGTATTAAAAAATTGTCAAGATTAATTAGTTATGATTAGACCTGACAAATATTTTTCTAAACCCATTTTATGTAATAAACTAAAAAAAAAAACTGTATACTTTTTTGAAGACAAGTTGATATTATGAAAAAAAATGCCGCGTTATGTTGAGATTTGGTAAATGAATTTAAAAATAGCAGACTTGATTTTCTAAATATTTCCAGTGATTTTGTAAGAAGCGCACTCTGTGCGTCCAGAAATTAATTTCAGGGTGTTATTATTTTTTTTTCATCAAATTTTTTTTAACTCGCTATGCTATTTAAGAAAACTTGAATAATCAAACAAAAAAAAGGTTATCACGTTTAATTCAACACATCGCTTATCATTTCAGAGGGGCTATCAAATGTAAACGTTTCTATAACAGTTTTCTAAATCATTAAAATCTTCTTATTAAAAATTTATTTTCTCAAAATCTACTAAATAATTTAACATAAGTTCCTATTGTATACATATAAGTAAAAAATTTATTTTTTCTTAATTAATTCTTAAAAAAATTGGGTGTACATCTCTTACCCTTCCCACAATTAATTATGCTACTGAATGTTCTTAGATTCTTCAAATTACTAAAAGTTTCAAGCAGTGATTTAATGAATACTTTCAACAATTTTAATGGAAAATTTTTATTTATGATACAATTATTTTTGTTTTTTACTCGTTGAAACTTAAAATTGTAATTTGTATGGCAATATATACAGATAGATGTATTAAAATGTGATACTTAGAAACACGGTAGTAATAGTTCATTAAGAGCACAATCGAAAATATTTTTCAATTTGGTACACGTGGAGGATAAATGCTACTAAAAAAAGGTAAAATACAATTGTAAATTATATTATTTTAAGAGTAATTGAATGATCAGATTAAACGGATAATGTTGTACTTTTTTATATTACCTTTGTTATTTGGTATGGACCTTCAGGAAAGAAATTGGTGTAAGGATTTAATTTATAATTGAAAAATGGAGCTCTATCACCATGACGAAAAATCTGTAAATAAAATTGAGAAAAAGTTATAAAGAGTTTAAAGATACACTTATATTATTATGAATCCATAGTAAATCAACATAATACAGTTTTATAAAACAACGAAATTATTGAATAATAGTGACATAGTTTAAATAGTAATTATAGTTACAATAAAACTTACCACTACTGCAAATTTTAAAGAAGAAACTGCTGGACGAATACTTCCATCTACAATAGCTAATACTACTAATATATTATAGGTAATATGTAAAAACATAATTTATTTAAGAGTATTATTGATGAAATCACATATGTTGTTGTGATTAAAGTATTAACTTATTAAATGTGATTATTTAATGAATTTTTAACTAATGTTAAGTCAATAAATAATATTTTTTATCCATGCATGTTTTGATAGATAACGAAATGCGTATTAATATGACCATTGCATTTTAAATGAATATTTTTTAGCTTTATTATATTATCATTAGGACCTTCAATATATCAAGGGATGCACTTTTCATAGTTATTACATAGCATTGATTATAAGTAATACCAGAATTTTTTTTAATGCAGATTGATTATTTTATTGAATAGATTATTGAAATTCAAGAATGAGAAATTCACAAAAACTCAATACACAAAATAGCTGATAAAGAATAGACTTCTACAGAAACCTTCTTTTATTATAAAGTTAATACTTTTCAATTATAAATAATGCTTGTATGTTTTATTTTTTTCAATAAAAATTATCATCTAAAACCACCATTGAGGAAAAATATGATTAAAGTGATTAATAGGTTTTTAAATTATTTCATTAGTTTTTAAAAATAATTTAAAATTTCATGATATACAAATGTACTATTCGACATTAAAATTAAATATTATTGTAATTCAACGAGAGAAATTTTAAAAATATTTATCTGTTTATGGCTTATTTTATTCCAAGCCTAATAAGCAATAAATACGATGAAATCATATAATTCTTATCGCTTGTTGAGTTATCTCATATAGTTCAATGTTATTAATTAACCGTATAATAGTTACATATTTTATGAATAACATGTATAGTTGTATTCTGAACTCGCATGTAAAGTAACTGGATGTTGGAAATATTATAATTGACGACCAATAACTGTCAAACGGTAAAATATTAATTTATAGTTTATGCTCGTCGATTCTGTTCATGATTAACTAAATTTAACCCAAATCATACTCCAGTATAGTTATGAATAAATCAAATGAGTATTTAACGAGGACACCGAATATATTTTAATCTCACAAGTTAAAATTTAACTACATCCTAATGCAATAAAAGTTATACTTAATGAATAGAAAAATTAGTTTTTTTATTTCATTCATCTGTTTCTATTATATTTTATTAGTCGTTTTTCCATATTCTACGTGTAAACTATAGAAAAAATTCTCATTTTTCTTTATAAAATTTTAAGAAATAATAAATATCTGAGATGATATGCTGTACAAGTACTACAAAGTATCGTTAAAAATAACTAACATATTTCCATGGTAAAAAAAAATCATAATTTAGAAGTAATATATTCTTTTTAAGTCACAATTAATATTGTCAGTAAAAAGTAATACAATAAAATAATACAAATATATATTATAAATATTACAAATATTATTAAAAAATTATTAAATATATATCTAAGTTAGTAAAAATAACAAATCTTAATAGGCACTTTGTGAATAATATTCACGATTTATAACAGAAAACTGAAAAACAAAACGCTTTAATCATTATTATATATTTTGTTTTGTTTGGTGTATTTTGAAGATAGAACTATGTATGACTATTACTTCATAGGTTACTATTTCTTATAACATAAGAAATATTATCATTAAACTTTCATTATATAATGAAAGTTAAATATATACAATAAAATAACAAGTAGTATTTATTATTCGAGCTGATGATATTGAGCGGTTAAGTTTTTTATGTCATTACTTATGTGAAATAAATTTAAGTGACTCGATGATTTCGCAATAAAATATAAAAGAATTTTAAAAAATTTGTTACATATTATAAAAAACTTATTTAATTTTCTATAGTAAAAATGATTTTTTTCAATCGCTTACATTCATAATTACAGTAATAGTCTTAATTAACATTTTTGTATTAAATTAAGATAAAATGTTTAAAGCGTTTTTTTTTTAGTATCACATTAAAATCTCTAATATTATATATATGTATATACTATATACTATAGATAACATTAATTGTATACTTGAAAACAATAGATAATTAGTCATATTTTGAATAACATTAAACAATAAAAATAACTAGTGAATGAGTAAGTGGTTAAACTGGAGGTGGTCCTCCAGGATATCGTAATAGTGGGTAAAGACTCCAAGCAATATTATTTGATTCCATGCAACTAAATTCCTCATCAACTATAGGTAATAAAGAAGCAGCACCAAGAACAAGTAACATAAGAGCTTGAAACGGAAGTGAAGCTCTCATTACTCGACCGAAAAATGTGTATCCACGTCTTAGCACCGTTTCTTCACCACCACTAGAATCATAAATTCAATATTACAGAAGATCCTTAAAAATATTGATTTGCTTTGTTAAAAAAAAAAAAAAAAACAGTTAAATTATTATTATAAAAGAGTTCTATTGCAAAATATATAATTTAATTTATTTATAATTATTTAAAATGTTTTAAATTTCTATTCGCAGCAAGACGAAACTAAAATATTAAAAATAATATGCTCTAGTAAATAAGGTTTTCACATGAAATTATTAAAATATTAAAATAATTAGACAAAGTTATTTAGTTTTTTTTTAACATTTAAGATAATATTATTATATTTATAATAATAATAATGTTTACAAAAAGGGCGATTTGACAGTTCATGTTAAATAAATATTTAATTGACTTATAATCGTTATCTACAATTGTTAATTTTCGATTTTTTGTAATATTTAATAATAATTTTTATTTAGATTGTAATTCTTTTTCTTTTCTAAAGGCTAAGCCTTGTCATAGTTTATATCCTGGGGAAATTAAGTGCCGTGGTTTCCCGTTGCCTTCTGAACTGGGAACATGGTACTTTTTCGGCACCGTAGAAGTAATATATAATAAAATATTTACATTTCCTTAGAAATAAAACAACACTTAAATGTTAAATGTCGAAAAAAATTGAATTTCATTAGATGGATAAAAGGTTTAATGTAAAGATACAGGGTTAAAAAATTGTTGTGCATAACTATTAATTATCAAATAATAGAATTATTAATAAATAATGTAATAATAAAAATAATATTAATATTTATGTTGTTAATAATGAGTCACACACAATAATTTTTGAAGTAAAGACTTCAATTTTATATTTAAATTTTGAACTACGAATTTCATGCAATTTCCACAATTAATAAAATTGATTCGGTTGCATCGAAAATTCAAAATTACCCAATGTCTAAATTGCCGAAAAAATGTCATAAATGTCACTCTGAAAATACAATAAAATTATATGTAATGTAATATGAATTACAATTCATATTATTAACAGTTTTAAATATTATAACATGTTAACTATATAGTTGTACATATAAACTAAATAATAATGTATTTTTTTATAGGCTAAACGAACAGTTCATTAAACAATGAAAATACATTCAGTTGCGCTTCATCTCCATCAATCATAGGGTAAGAGTACCAGTTATGGCCATTTTAGTATTTAATGTGGTAATTTGGTATTTGATCAATAAGTTATAGTACTTATTCTAGGATCAAATGAATTTTTATAATCACAATTATGAGTTTTGGAACAATTGGTTACAAACATTTTAAAAATACTTCTAAAACATATAAATTTATTTTGTGGTCACAAGTGGTACAGTATACAATACCGGCGCATTCATTATGACTATTGCAAAATAGTATATTGTTTACGTATGAATATTGTGAGATTAAATATTCAGATCATTAAATATTACCAATGATTAAACTAACATTTCTACTCTATATAATGAAATTATACTAAAAGCCAAGACTATTCTCACAAATAAAAATAGCATTTGAAATATCATTAGTAAGTATATTAATGTTGTTGTTTAATTTTTTCTTTTTTATTTATTAATATATAATTTAATTATGTTGTTTGTATTATCACATTGTTTTTTTTTGTTATTTATTAATCATTTATTATTTATTTCTGTATTTTTTTATGGATATTGTAGGTTTTTCATAAAGTATAGCATAAAATGTTTTATTTTTATTTAACATTAAATATAATACTTTATTATTACATTGTATTATATTATTTTATTTTTAAGCAAAATAATATAGAAAAAATAAAACAGTGAAAGTAGTAAAGTTAAAAAAAAAATTTTGTGCAGATATTTACTTTGCGTTTGACTCTTCATCATTAAATTGATTCACAACAGTGCTTGTATCGTCCACCTTAAATGGGAACAAAAATTATTTTAACAAATGCGTGAGCATAATAAACCGTGCAATACAATTAAAATATAATACATATATATATATAAAATGTAGGTACAAAAATAAAAATATCTATTGCTATTATTTCTGTACCTATAATTTTCAATATAACACTCGTAACACTACTTAATGTAATAGAAATGTAATGTATTAGTATATAAAGCAAAATAAAGACACTCTAATTGATTTTCTATAAATAAAATGGAAGCTATAAGCAGTAAATATTATAGTGATATAATAAATAAAGGATAAATATAATATGTTATATAATACATATATATATTAATAATTTTCTACGCATTTTTTATTAAAATATCATACCTTGTAAATCCGTCTTGTACTAATGGTTTCGGTCGAAATATCATAGCCAAGGACTTTACCCAAATTGATAGTGTATTCAGCTGTCATATTTATTAATTCATTTAATCTAACTTTGAGATGTGATAATCTAGTATAAGAATCTATAACTGTTTGATCATTATCAGTGGGAACACGCAGTCTGGTTAATTCATTGGCCTGTCTTAACCAATCGGATGCTTCAAGTAAAGATACAATTCTTGGTTCACATTTTTCTAGGTCTTTATGTATTTTCTAAAATGTGCATAAAATGAGAATTTAGTAATAGGTTTTATCATCTTTTTAAGTTTTATTAACTTAATAGTTGAACCGTAGTGAGAGAGAAGTAGTATTTTAATGGAATTAAAAAAAAGCATAAATATAGACTACGATGGTACTGGAAAGAAATGTCATACATGTTTGCAATGAGACATCAGTATTCCTAACTCAGTATTGATTAAAAATTATTTATATAACTTGTGTGATTATTAAGTACAGAATATTTATTTTTGTTCTGTAATTAATAATCACATAAATATTTATTTTTGATATTTACTTTAAATTTATGGAATTTTCTGGAAATAACTTCGGTATCTTCTGATAAATCAATAGGTTCATTTGTTTTGATTGTCTGCTCTGTTTCATTTAACCAAGTAACAAGTTCATCAATCATGTCATAAAATTCCTCATTCTATAATAGGATAATAGGAAATATTCAATAAATATATATTTTATAAAAGCATAAATAACTATTCTTTTTAATTTTTTTTTTTTCGGAAAAATNTATCTTCTGATAAATCAATAGGTTCATTTGTTTTGATTGTCTGCTCTGTTTCATTTAACCAAGTAACAAGTTCATCAATCATGCCATAAAATTCCTCATTCTTTAATAGGATAATAGGAAATATTCAATAGATATATATTTTATAAAAGCATAAATAACTATTTTTTTTCGGAAAAAAAAATTTTAAAACTTAGTTCTACCTCCATAAGGGCTGTTTGTAGACTTGTTTGCCATTCGGTACAAGCTAAGGATACACGATCCCATCTTGCATTGGTAGCTGATAATCGAGTTTTGATTTGATCTGCTCTTTCAGTATCAGTACTATGTTCAGCTAAATGATCTCCAATAACATTTAATGATTTTATAATATTTCGATGGCTATCCATATACAAAAGCACTTCCTAAAGAAAAATGTGTTTTAAAAATTAATAAAACTATTTTAATTTATTTTACGGACTCTATGTTCTTGAATAACATCTTCTAGTTGTTCAATTTTAGTCGGAGGTATTGTTGGATTTACGCTTAATTTGGCTTCTGTTGATTGAATCCAATGCTCCAAACGCCACATGTCATTTTCAAATTGTGACCAATTTTGTTCGGAACACAATGGACATATCGTTAAACTTACACTAAAAGTAAAAATATGTATTGACTTATAAAGTTAATAAAATTTTATTATGCAATAGTCNTCTGTTGATTGAATCCAATGCTCCAAACGCCACATGTCATTTTCAAATTGTGACCAATTTTGTTCGGAACACAATGGACATATAGTTAAACTCACACTAAAAGTAAAAATATGTATTGACTTATAAAGTTAATAAAATGTACTTAATTTTATTATGCAATAGTGTATTTGACTTACTCTTGTTGTTTATTAAGTTGCAGAGTTCGGAATTTAGTTAAAATTTCTTCATGTTTAGCTAATAATTCTTGCGATCTAACAATACTGGGATTCGATTCTGGAACACCATATTGAGTTTTCAAAATATCACTCAGATGTTTGATAAGATCTGCGGACATTTGACAAGTTGCAATGTTTTTTGATAAGTTTTTGTCAGAATTCTGTAAAACTGCTTCTAATTCATTCAAGTCGAGTTCAGCGTTCGATATTGCGTTTAAAAATTCTAGTTGGAAAGAATCCTTATTAAGAAATTCTGAAGAAAGTGTATCAACTTGTATTTGTGAGTCCTTGCCGAATTCCAAAGTATCAACTTGAACTTCTTCATTTACCGACCGCTAATAAAATACATTATTATATGAACTGTTATTTAGATGCAGTAATTAATTATAATATTAATAATAATACTTTTTTGACACATGAAGTTTCCTCGNTTGCCGAATTCCAAAGTATCAACTTGAACTTCTTCATTTACCGACCGCTAATAAAATACATTATTATATGAACTGTTATTTAGATGCAGTAATTAATTTATAATATTAATAATAATACTTTTTTGACACATGAAGTTTCCTCGACACAAGTTATTTTTAATTTGTTAATGCGGGAGCTGATGTCTTTCCACAACATTTTGTATTCGTCTATCATTTCTTCGATTCGTTTTAAATCACAAGGGCTACTATTTTTCATTAATTGAAGACCTAACGTATTTGCTTTTTCTAAAAGTTCTCCATACTTATGTAATTCTGCCTCTAGTATCTACACGAAAATAATTATATGACAAAAATGTTTTAAAATATCATAGTAATTATTGAATTTTGTTTCATAATATTTTTTAAGAATATTAAGATATATGCAAAAAAATAAATAATTTTTGTATTTTAANGGGCTACTATTTTTCATTAATTGAAGACCTAACGTATTTGCTTTTTCTAAAAGTTCTCCGTACTTATGTAATTCTGCCTCTAGTATCTACACGAAAATAATTATATGATAAAAATGTTTTTAAAATATCATAGTAATTATTGAATTTTGTTTCATAATATTTTTTAAGAATATTAAGATATATGCAAAAAAATAAATAATTTTTGTATTTTAAATTGTCGTTGAAATAAGTAATTAAATTGAAATTTATTATTATTATTATATATTATTCATACCTGTAGGTTTCCAAGTTCTTTACCAAATTCATCATTTGAAATTTGCGCGAGAGTACTGTTTGTTTCATCCAAAACTTCAAGTTGAGTTAATTTATTATCAACTTGTGTAAGGGTAATTATAGCTTTCCCGTGAGCAATAGTAAAATCTTTCCATAAAGTAAGAGATTTTTTGAGCTCTAAAATTATTTCATTCAGTTTCTTCCTAATAGAAGTCCTGGATTTTATTATAGTCTCAATTTCTTGTTCAATAAACACATCGTATTTTGATTGTGAACTGGCCAATTCTAAATTGCACCACATTTCTTCTTCACTTTGCAGTTCTTTCTGAAATTTAAAAATTGAAATATTTACTGATATTTTAATATATTTAAAACTTTTTTTGAACTACCTCAATGTTCTTAATCGTTTTAGGTAAACTTTGATATTCTAAAGCATCATAGGTCTTGTGACTTTCTACAATTGTGTTCAACTGCTCAAGTTTTTTTTGTTCTATGTCAATTAATTTAGTAATTTTTTGTAAATCTTCCCAATTACTTCGTGTATTATTCTTTTGGTCTTCAATTTTATTCTCAATATTTTTCCAGCTAAAATAAGTAATAAATAAATACAATGATATTTATAAAATAATATTTAGTAATAAATTTTATCTCATTAGACTTACCTTATCGATATGGTTTTTAAAAGACTTTCTAGGTTAGAAGTACTTTCTAACATTAGTGACTCTGAGTTATTTGTTGTTTCCAAAAGTTTATTACATTTAAACTTTAAATCATCGTATTCTATTTGTTTTCCTTTAACGATATTTTGCAATTCCTGTCAAAAATTTAAAAATTAATAAGTATTATGTGATCTACACTAAAAAATACTTTATAGTAGAAGTCAGTAATGTAAGTTTTTTTATTTTTAAACTGAAAACTTTTCGAAAATGAAGACATGATAAACATGACTAGTTATATTATAAAATACTAGTAAATGGAAAAAATAATTTCTGTTATCTTTATCTCTATATACTGATGTCCCACCATGTTCTACATTTTTTTGAACAGCAATTATTTCTTGTTACTTTTTTCTTAAATATTTTGTACAGTCTTATGTTACATTAAAAGCATACTTTTTCAATATTTGTCTCAATTAAAAAAAAAATTTTTTTGATGGGTCGATAGAACTTTTATAGATAATTTAAAAAAAAAAATTTGATACCAATAACTTTTATTTTAATTCAGTAGTTACGTTTATACAGCATTTTGAAATTTTGATTTTTTATACAATTTTCCTATGGTATCAAATGTTAGACCATATTATATAAGTACAGAATTAAACATTTATTACGTTATTTACTGGTAACAGTACGCGTAAAGAAATAAAATGTAGATCATATGTTATATGAGTTGACAGTTAGATCTGTTCCACTCTGTATATATATTAGCATGTGACATTGTACAACATATATATATATACATATTATGTATAAATGTGTAGCATTAATAAAAATATGCAATTAAAATATTGTGTTATTTTATTTTTTAAATAAATAATTAAGTATAGACTAACATCGAATTTTATCAATTCTTTCTTTAAGCTTTCTTCCGAACTATCATAAAAAATAATTGGTGTATTAGTCAATTTGGTGTTTAAGTCTATGATCCATTTCTTCAATAAATTTACGTCATTATATAGTTTATGATTGTCCTAAAAATAAAATTATAAAAATAAAATTATCTTAACAGATGAAAAAGAAAATTAACTTACTAAAATTTTCGATGGTAGTTCAATAGTATTCTTATAAATTGATTCTTTTAATTCATTCCATTTCGTACTTATTTCTTTTAATTTGTTTTCAGTAGAAGTGGCTAACTCGGGATGCAAACGAGACTCTGCTTCAATTAATTTTAGTCCGGTATTATTCAGCCAATCAAATTCTTGTTGTTTAGTTTTGATAAGGGATTCAAACTCAGGTTTTATTACATCTGTTACAAATTTAGGGTCTTTTAAAGATTTAGTCAAATTTTTTAATTGAGAATCTGTATCAATAGTCCAGCATAAAAAGTCATGAGATCTACAGTATAATAATATAATTAATAAATAATTTTTTTATTTTTCAGAATTAATGTCTTTAAAATAAATTACTTACCTGTTAGAAAACTCTTGAGGTTTATACATTAAGTATTCTATTCGACAAGTTTGCAAGAAAAGCTGATGTAATAAGTCTTTTTGGTGGTATTTTAAAAATCTAATTTTTTGTCCAAAAGTACGAATTTCAATTGGATCTAATGAATCTTTTAACTTATCACGTGCTTCATTGGCTGACAAAAAGTTGAGATCTAATTGATTTAAACAACTTTTAAGATTATCTATTTCATTTAAGTTGTTTTTGAGTTTGTCAGATGGTACAAAATCTTCACTTTTTATGTCACAGTCTAAAATGAATTGTGTTAAATGAAGGTGAACATCTTGGAGTATTTTATCAATATTTTTAGTTTCTTTAGAAAATATTTTTATTAATTTTTCAATATTATTTAAATAACTGTTCCAAACTTCTAACGATGCTTGAATTTCGTTAATTCTTTGACTTATTGCAATTAATTCTTTTCTATGACCAACTTCAGTTTCTTTGCTACAAAAAGTGAATAGAATGTTTTGCTTTTGTTCTAAATTGTTTACTTGAACATTTTCTAATTCCAAACTACTTAATAAATTCTAAAAAAAAAAAAAAACAGTATTAGCTTTATAGAATTTTTCAATCGTCTCAAAATATTTAAGTCACAATTAAATTAAAAAAGTAATTAGAACTTACATTTATATGCGTTTTAAGTTGAGGTAACCTTTTTGAATTGACGAATTTCAAATTCAAGTTAGAATGGATATTTTCTATTTTCCATAACCATTCATATATTTTTTTAATATTTCTTCGATATTCTTTCCAGTGATTGAGTCTAGTCCATATCTCTTGTTGAATTTTAAAAAGTTGAGTCATAATATTATTATGTAATTCCGTCAAAGACTTAATTTTATCAATTATAGACGGTTCAGAAATTATGTCGGGTTTGTTAACAAATGTTGTTAAGTTATCAAGTTGACTGTTGAGAACTTCTTGATGAACTTGGCAAAGTCGTTCATGGTTAGTTAATGAGTGATAGTCACCAGGCATAGGAGAATTTAAAAACTCTTGTACATACATAAGATAATCGTGCCATAACTCTAGTACTGAGTTATTATTTTCGTTTTCTAGTAAAGAGCATGAAAGTCTACGGTATTGCTCAAAAGTCTCTTTGAATATTTGTTGCCAATGCTAAAAAACAAAATAAGTATAAAAAGAAAAATTCAATAATGTATATAGTATGATATTTACCTGGAATACTTCTACTATTGAGTTTGATCGTATTACATTTAAAGGAGTGTCAAAAATATCTCGATCTAAAGATTTGTCTATAGCTTTTTTAGAGTCGCTTAAATTCATTAGCTTGGTTCTTAATTCCTCAAGACTTTCATTGTTTATTTCTATATTTTTTGTTGAACTCTGTAAAATAACATAAAGATTAAGTTACGTCATAGGATTTTTTAACATTCATAAAGACGACACCTATTGTTTAAATATTGTTCTTTATATTAAAAAATGCCAACTTATGGTTGTTATGTGTGAATATTTTTTTTACAAGAATAATCACATTTGTTGTATCAAAAATATACTATTAACTGTTTTTATTGAATACTGCACGATTTTTATTTTAAGTTTTAGAAGCCATTAAAAGTTTTATCAGAACGAATTAATAGTATTTAGGTCGAATCAATAACCAATATAAAAAAAATCTGCGTGTTGTTTCTAAAATTTTACATTATTTTTTAATACTATAAAGAAACGGTCAAGTACAGTTGTAGTATTCTTTACTTTTTCAATATCGTGCAAGAGCTGCTTTGCATGTTCGACATCGTGTGAAATCTTATTTTTTTTGTCTGAAACGTCTCCTAGTGCGATAATAATCTTTTGAACTTTTTCAAGTTTCACGTTTAGTTCTTCTACTTCAACAGTTAATGGTATGTCGTCTGAACTAAGACCAATTGTATCACTAATATTTGTTATCATATTACGTAATTCTTCAATAATTTGTTTTTGTTTTTCAAAACATTTCGTTGTGTCACCAGGAACATCATCCGACGTTTCAAGCGATTCGATCTTACTTTTAAGCCAATCATTCGTTGAATCCTTTAAATTATGATAACTTTGTAATTGTTTTGATGCTTTTATGAAAGATTCGATTGAATCTTTTAGTTCTACTCCTATTAATTTCCATTGTTTTAGATCACTATCAATAAATTCATTTAATAATCGTTTCTTTTCTTTTTTATGTAATTTTTCAATTAAAGTTGTGATATTTTTGTTTTCTTTTTCGTATTCACCGCGAACCTCCTGAAATAATAATGCATATTAATGTTTATAGTTCAAATTTTCAATTATTCTAGGACAAACAAACTTGTATTTTAATTTCAAAATAAATTAAAAATGATACGATTATTTTGTAATGAAATTTATAAAGTCAAAATCAAACGTTTTTTATACATCATAAAATATTGTTGTTGAGCAAAGCCATTATTGTGATAAATAAACTTATTTATAATTAACTAATTCGATTATTTTTTGCTAAATTAATTTTAAGTTGTTACAGCATAAATATGTGAAATTAATGCTCAAATTTATATAACTACATATTACACTACTATATTAACACAGTTTAANTATAACTACGTATTACACTACTATATTAATATAGTTTAGATAAACTTTAAAGGTATTGATGTTGACTACATTTGTCTGAAAAATGTTCTACATTTTAAAATGTATTTTAACTGGTTAAAATTATTATGTGTTGACCTATAAAATAAGATTATTTATTTATGTCCCTCTGAATATTGAATACATTAGATATGTATAATGTATAACTTATAATAGTGACAAGCGGGAACTATGTTTTGTTCGTTTGTAATGCTGATTTTGTGTGGCATNAATACATTAGATATGTATAATGTATAACTTATAATAGTGACAAGCGGGAACTATGTTTTGTTCGTTTGTAATGCTGATTTTGTTTGTGTGGCAANATGCTGATTTTGTGTGGCATAACGCACAGTCAACAAATAAAATTTAACCATTTTAGGATGACATATATAAAATGACTTAAATATTTATAACCGTAGGGATTGGGATATGCATGTTTCAAAATGATCGAAAATTTCATCAATTGTGTATTCATTAGTAGTTTTAGTATTATAAAAAAAATTTGTGACTAGGTGATGTAACGTAATACAAGTAGTTCCGTTGTCAAAATATAAACAGTTCTTCAAATTGATCACTAAAAACACCAAATAATCTTTTATTAAATACTACAGAGTTATTAATTTAATATAATTAGTATGGATATTTTACGTTATTTTTTTTATATTGTTATCTGTGTGACCTTGATGTCATAATGACTAGTAGGTTGTTAAACGAATACTTAAATGATTTTGTTATCAAAATCATGATATATAGCGGTTTTATGAGAAATAAAAATGACATGAATAAACAACTAAAATTTTACTAATACCTTCAATTTTTACATTATGTTCATATAAATTTAGAAAATTATAATGTATAAAACTATCAATTATATGGACGTTTAGCAAATATGTAATAATTTTTATCAATAAAAAATAAGTTCATACTAAAAATATATTCAGATATTTTTTATTTACAAAATTACTTAATTATAAGAGTTAGACAATTACCTAACAGCACATAAATTCTAGGTAAATTAGTGGTATTAGTTTTGTAATTTACTCGAAAGTTGCTAAATAAAAGATTAAACACAATAAGTACTTAATTTTCGTTAGACACAGAGTAAATATTTGTACTCAATACTAACGAAGTGGTTTCAAGGTTTTTATAGTTACTATACCAATGAAAAATTCTTTAAGACAAGAAACATAAAGAATTTCTAAATAGACTTGATAGTAATGTTAAAATAATAAATTTTTAAATAGAATTATCAATAAAATTATTAATAAAAATAATATAATAAAATTTGAGGAACCATTTTTTTATTTATTTATTTATTTTACATACCTATTTTACCATTTATAATAATAATAATAAAAACTTAATGAAATTAATTACTTCTAAAACAATAATGCAAACAACATTGTTATCACTTACACCAATTAACTCTTTGATAATTAAATAACGATCCTTAAATTATGAAATATCAACTAGGTCAAATATAATTATATGTTTATTTTTTTGGTTTATATTAGGTATTTCTAAAAAATAAATATTTAATACAAATTATTTTTATTTATTGTTACTAAAAATTTTGAGTGACGTGTATTTAAAAACTGAATCGAAGATATGTAAAAAAAGAGCAACACACGGCTAGTGTTTTGAAACGAACGAAGCATACTGATTTAATCGGTGACGTTCATACACACAGCTGTATGCAATTTTTTGCTTGAGTAATAATTATTTACATTATTATTTTCTAAATAGCCACTGTACAGAGTGATAAAAATAATATTTCTCTGTCCTCTTGCATAGAATATTAGAAGCAACATACGTCAATTGTTTAAATATTGGGGCATAATGCACTGGAAATAGAATGGTTTTATTTTTATCCAATACGTCACGTTTGATTTTAAAGCTTTACATAGCATTGGTATTTCAATTTTATTAATTAAAATTTTGATAGGATAAATTATAAATATAGTAAACGATATTAAAATATGTCTACGATTAATATAATTAATTACTATTACTGATAAAATAATAAAAATAAATTAACTATTTAAAAGTAAATACCTTTAAATGTTTAATGAAGAATTCTAAATTTGTATCTATTATATCAGATTTTATTGTAATATTTCTTAAGATATTGATGGTATTAGTTTTAATTATGATTTTCTTATGTATTTCATCAGCTTGAATCCAATACTTTAATTTATTTTCAAGTTTTTCGGAAATTGCAGCTTGTTTGGAATTTAATTCTTTACATTGTTTTTCGGACTCATTTATCTTAGCTTCTATTGATTTCCTATCGTGTTTGAACGGTTTTAAATTATCTTTCAGTTGTTTCAAATTCTGTGAGATGTCTGATAAATTATTTTGCCAAATTGTTAAATTGTTCAAAATATTCTAAAAGTAATATAAATTAAAAAAAAATTAATTTTGAAATTAAAAAATTTTTATTGATCTTATAAAGTTATTTTTGAATATAATAAATTAAGGAATGATTCCTTAATTAACCTGATAATGATTATCAGGTTAAATTATCTTATTTATTCTAAAAAACAAAAAAGATAAAGGATATTGAAAAAACTATACTATAAAGTAAATCAACATAAATGTTGATTTACTTCTTAATCTAATATTATTAGATTAAGGACTGCGGTTTTAAGGGAATATTTTTCCTACAAAAAAATTGATTTTTATTTTTAATCTACTCAATGTATGCAAAGCAGAATCTGTTTAACAGATATTATAAAAATGTATACATATAAAAAAAAAAAAAACAATTTAAGAATAATATATTTATAAACTTTTAATTAATTAAATTAAAATGATAATATTAGAATCTATATTTTTTAATAAATATTATTATATTAATAAACATACATTTTTTATTAAGTTGTAAATATTTAGCACTTTTATTCATACATACAATTTGTTAAATTCTAACTGACTTAAAACTTATGAAAACACGAGGAATATAATATTATAATATACTGTAAAATGTATAGCAGAATACTGGTCAAAAAGGTCATTTGTTTGGGGGAATCATGTACACTTATTAATCGATGATTTTCATATTTTATAAAAATAATTTCACATTTTATTAGAAAAATGTAAAATTTGTTTGTTAATTATAGTTAAGGTAAAAATGTAAAGGAATAATATGTAATTATCTTTCATCCCGGGTCGAATAATTCTGGGTAATTTTTAAAACTCCAAAGGTGGGCTGACCAAAGGAACTAAAGACATTTGTTCATTGAAAGTTCCTAAAATGTCCTATCTCATCAAATGTATTTATTTGAGACAGTTTGTGATTATTCTAAATATAAAAATATCAAGCATTTCAGTACGAGTAATCAATTTTTACCTTGCGTGCCCTCCATGTCACTAAATATTTATCTTATCTATTTATTATAAAATTAATGATATAACTCAGTATTAATTAAATAATTGAAAATAGTTTCTTAAAAAAACACTTACTGTATGAGTTATTCTAGCAGCACTTAATGAATTCTTATCTTTATACTCTGATGTTTCTAATCCTATTAATAATATTTCAGCGTGTTTCAAACTATTGCTAAGTTCAGATATTTTATCCATTAGGAAATAAAGTTTGAGTTTTAAATTTGTAGTATCGATAAGTTTATTTTCACATTGGTTCTTTAGTAGATTTGAACGTTCAATTAAAGTTTTATTTTTAGTGAGGTTTTCAATGATATTAATTTCCCGTAAGACATTCTGTGAAAAATAAAATAAAATTTATAATGAGTTATTATAGTTTAAGTAAAAAGAAATTCTTGTCATACATCAAGGGTATTAGTATGCTCAAAAATTGAATCGTTTGGTTTTTCTATTGATAATTCTAAAATTTGTAATCTTGTAGTTATATTTTCTTCGCTAATTTTTATTTGTTTTATATCTTGTTTATTTTTCAAACTCATGCAAGTAAACTTAATAGAATTTAATTCGTCAATTTCTTTTTGACCGTCCGTCAATGATAAAATATCAAAAGATTTATTTAAGTGGATTTCAGCTATTTCTATCATTTTAAATATATTGTCTAAGTTGATTATATTTTCCTGAAATATTGATTAGACATTAGTTCCATAAATAAAATAAGAAATAACAATAGTTTTTACCACGTAGTTACTATGAGTGTTAATTTGGGCGTAGTTACAGACTTCTGAGTTAGATATTACAGTTGATAAGTCAGATGTTATTTTGGTTTTAATTATATTGTAATTATTAAATTCCTTTTTAAAAGCCAATAAACGATTTTCTTCATCTTTCAATTTATTTTTCAATAAAAACAAGTTATTGGTTTGAATTCCGGTGAATTTTATTAGTGGTTCGATGCTTGTATGATCTTGGATATTAATTATATCATTCAAATTGACAATTTTATCATAATGTATTAATACTTCCGAAATCAGCGTCTACAAAATAAAAAGTCAAGTATATTTCAATATATGTAACTATTTTTTTCAATTTTTTATATTGAACAATAAGCAACATGGAGTTCAAATGAATTTATAGGCTATATTATCTTTAAAAGTATAAAACAATTATGCCCGTGAAAAATAAGTTTATTATTTTTGACGTCACTATAATCCACAAATCTTTTATTGGAAATAACTTTTATTTTATTTGAGTTATCTTAAACATCTTTAAACAAACATTAAAATTTATGTTCGCGTTATGTCGTGTGAACAATGTTGCATAGTATAAAATATATAATAATTTTAGTATATCTAGGAGAAGTTATAAATTTTAAATAGACTTACTTAAAATTTTTTTTATTTTTAAATAATTAACAACAGAATTTTCAAACGAAAAATAAACAATTTAATAAAAGTTTTTTGAGATCACTTATGTAACTAATAGTTAAGTAAAAAATTTCTATGATGTTATAAGGCTATATAAGCTATATGGTTATCACATAATTAACTAAAAAGAAGCACAGCACATAATTGGGACAAGTATAGATGATATCCAACAGAGATTAAAATCACTATCATAAGATACGTTTCGATGTAAATTTGTAAAGAGTGTTTAATTTTAAAAAATTGGTGGATTATTCCAAAAGCTACATTATCTGCTAGTTCCTTATTAATATCTTGATTAAGATAAAGTATGTCGAATGAAAAAGGGATTATTAAAAAATATTATTTCGCATAAAAAAATTGTGTTGATGCATACACTTTTCAATAAGTTATAGCATTATAAAGTTAAAAATGTAAAAAATAAAATCGAGAATTTTCACACAAAAATAATATTCGGTAGCCATTTTCACCGTAAAGAAAAAATAAAGTCAGAAATTATTTTTTTCCATAATAAAGTACATTACATTAGCTTTAAATTAAGATATATATAAAAGTGTCAGACTTTCCGGAACATTTTCAAAAGTCAAGTTGAAAAAGTTAATTTTTTGTGAAAAAGTTGTCATTTAAACCCCCCCCCCTGTGTGCGGGTAAAGGGTCAGATTTATAAAAAAAATATACCAAATAAAAGGTAATGATATCATGCATCTATATAAAAAAAAATTGAAAAAATTAAAGACCTTGATTTATACTTTAAAAAAAAAAAATTGTTTGTTACTTATGAATAAATTTACTCTTCTATAAAGAATTTTCATCAGAGACCAAAATATACTATATGCTTTACTGCATTTAGATTTTTTCTATTTCTTATTTTTTGTGATTATTACTAAATAGTAAAAAATAAGTATTTACATATAAAAAAAAATATTATAAACAAAAAAAAATTTTTTTTAATCTTAACATATTAAAAATCAGAATCTATAATAATTTGTTTTTCGAATCGAAAAAGAACACATCATAGTAAAATTAGTACCTTGTCAGTCTCGTATCGAAGCTAAAAGTTATTTCAACAATAAACTAAATTAGTTAATTTCCATCTTTCTATATTTTATACTTTAAAAGAAGTTAAAACAAATTTTTTATATAACAATTTAACTAAATTTTAATAAGTTGATTTAAATAATGAAAAATTACCTGATTGCTAATAAGTCGTTTTTCATAATTTAATAAGGATGTATTTTCTTGTGAATTTATAAAGGCCTTAAATTCATCAAACCATGTTTGTTCAGAATTCATTATATGATTTAAATATTTCCATTCATTATTTAAATGTAATAATGTTTCAAAAAATTGTTTTTTGTTAATAAATGCTTCGTTTAACTTTTTAATGAGAGTTTTATCGCAGTTTTGTGAAATTAAATATAACTTTAAATTATTTACTAGCGTTAAAATTTCAATTTCTTCTCGTAAACAGTCCTAAAAAAATAAAAAGTTTTAATCATGTTAACTAAATAGAATAAAATAAGAAATATAAAATCGTTTTTTACAATTAAGAAATTTCCATACAACGAATAAAACAATTATAAATATGTTTTGCGCGAGACAATTTGATATGTAATGATGCTAGAGTTCCAAAATATTTACTTAATAATTGATGAGAATATTATCTGTGATCAAACGTTTTCGATTTTTCGTTTATATAATTTCTAGTATTTTGTATTCAGTAATAAATTTTAGTAAAATTTACTATATTTTGGTATTTTTAATTTTCAAAAATAACTTTAGAGTTGAGTTTTCAAAATTATAAAAACGCCAGATCACAGATAATTATCTCTATAATTCTGTGAAATTCGAAGTCTGTGATGTTAATCACAGTCTTCAATACAACTTGATTAAAGTTGTCACGCACAAAACAATTTTTAATGAATAATATTTCATTTTTTTATTTCATAACTCATTTTTTAAAACTCACTTTTTTATAGTCAATATATAGAAGGTAGACTTTAAGAATTGATACGATCACATATGTGTGATCATATCTAACATTATTATTGTAACGCCGACTAGGCTTATATCGTTGACACAGTGACACACGTATTACTACAGGAGGACAGACTGCACACATAAACATTTTTGTAATTCACGGTCAAAGTACCATGATAATATATCCCTAACGCCAGTTGACTTTTTACCATTATTTCGACCATTACTCTTGTCTTATATTTAACTTAACTTAGCTACCACGTAAATAGTGTGAGTGTGTGTGTGTCGCCGTCAGCTCCCTGTTAGATTATATCATCTCTAGGTGTCCAGCAAGTTGTACTATTTATTTAATATGTCTTTTCTTAATAAATATTTATATCATTGTTAACCAAGAGTGTTATATATATATATATATATATATATTGTAGTGCGACTCTTAGTAGTTCCTTTAAGGGAATATAAATTAAATAGAAAACCTCAGTATCAAAGGTAGACATAGCCTAGCCAGATATTCCCCCGTTGGTCCTTTAGAATACTATTGACGGGCATTTAGGCTTAACCCCTAAATTGTGACGTAACAGAATCTTTTGTTTGCTTGTATGGCGTCCTTTTAATATTTTAAGACTAGGTTTTAATTTTTTATTAGTAAAATTTAAAGTTAATTTATATTTAATTAGTGAACCTATGATAGATTGAAAACAATTTATATGGAAATCTATTTTTCATCATTAAAGTTTTTAAAATTGATAAACAATTTTGCTTCTGAAATAATTTGTAATATTTTGGTATTGGAAGAACTGTTCTTACTTTAAAATCACAGTTGTGAATTAAAAAAAAATATATATATGAGTGCATAATAGTAAACTAAAGTTATGAAAGTGTTATAAATTACGTCGTAATAAACACATTCTATTACTTGTAAGACACCAAATAATTAATTAATCTATTATAATATTTGCACTGTTGTACATTATTTATTATATATTTTTATATGTGTCAACTTGTTCATTGTAAACTATGCAACTTATCTTAAAAAAATAATCATGTGATGTTCAATTTAATACAATAAATAAATATTCACTAAAAGCATTGTCGAAAACATCCCAAGATGACAAGTAATCAAAAATAATATAAAAAGACTTAGTTCTGCTTGAACATCAGAGGGACTTCTTAAACTTAAATTTCAATTACTATAAGTAAAAATGCTATAAAACATATGAAGTCTATATCTTAAAGTTAATAAATCGCAAAAATTGGTTTTTAAAATTTGTTGGAAATTTAAATTTTAATATGGTATTAAAATATATTTAAAATTTAAATATAGTTACGGATAAAATAAAAAATAATTTAAGTTACCGGAACATCATCCATCATTAATTGGCCAAATCGATTTTTGTTTTCATTATTTAGATTTTGGTCAATCAGATTCAATTCCTTTGAATTTATATCCGTCATTTTTTTCTCCATCAGTTCAATAATTAATATTTTATTGGTATTTATCAATTCATTTTCTAATTTTTTAGCAGTTTTTAATAGTTTATTTATGTCCTTAGATATATCATGATTAAAATCATTCGCTTGATTATATATAGAAACAATTTCATGTATTTCCTCTATAACTTGTTGTAAAGAATCTAACAGTAAATTACATTTGTCAAATTTTTCCTATAAAATAAAACAACTATTAAATTTTATTGAATTATTGAATTTACATTTTCAGTTGTACTTTGAAAATATTTTTAATTCAAACGAAACGGGAAAACTTATATATAAACATGAATAATTGATTTAAGATTAATATACAAAAATATATCTTAATAAAATGGTAGTTATTTGCAGTTTTAATATTGATATGATAAATTAAAAATACATATTATACGTTTAAGTAATATACTGACAATTTACTATGAGAGAAAAAATGAAATATCTTACATTAAGAAATTACATGTACGTAAAATTAAAGTTCACTTATTCTAGTAAATATAGTTAAATAATTATTTAAAAATATGAATAACACGTTACCTCTATAATAAGTTTTTCTTTTTTTAATTGATTAAATTGTATTTCGCAATTTTCAATATTTTTGGAACAATTTTCGATCATTGAAAAACGTTTGTTTATATTACATTTTTGAGTGGAATGTAATTTGGTACCATAAAGTTTTTTTAGTTCAATTATTTTTTGTTGAAGGTATTCCATTTTTATATTAATGTTATTTTGATCATTAGTTAAGTAAGAGGTTTTTGAAATGCCTGGAATTTGGGTCATAGTTAGTGCATTTTCTACTGTTGATTCTATTTCTTCAAAAACTTTATTGATACACGAATCATTTTTCATCGTCTCATTATCCTGTAATATAAAATAATTATATTATTCTAAAAAGTATGAAATATTTGTAATCACATAATATTTAAAACGGGTGTAAAATATAATAAGCAATGTAAAGGATAATAAACATTCATTAAATTACAAATCAATGTTACAAATACTTTAAGCAACTAAGATGTAAAAAAGAAAACATATAAAATGCTATAAGAAAGTTTTATTATAATCAACAATAAACAACTAAAATTAGTAATGTGAGTGATAAAGTATACAGAGTGATTCATTAATCATTTATATACTTATATTAGATTTAAAGTTTCATGTATTTATTCAACTTAACAATCATGATGAATTTT